AATTCATATAGATTTTGCAGAAAAGGGGAAGCATCAGTTTCTGTTGGTTAGTGTTGCTTATTCACGAATGGCCAGAAGTTAAATTGACAAGCAGTACCACATCTTCAGCTACCATAGATGCTATGAGGGGTTTGTTTGCAGCATATGGGCTTCCCCAAGTGGTCGTTTCCAATAACGGTCCACAGTTTGTGTCAAAAGAGTTTGAGACATTCTTGGAAGCTAATGGGGTTAAACATATTAACCCTTGGGAGTCTGAGGCCTCTCGGCCACTTTCGGGGTAGTCTGACTTGCCTTGACATTTTAAAATATTTCACCTATCTAAAAAACATTTCTCCCAAAGTGTTACATTTGCTTTTATTCAGCACAAACTCAGCACCAATAATCTGAGACCACTTCGAATGTTATTATTCTATTTTTTGTTAAAATCAACTTTAAACATATGCTTTTCAAAAACCTATTTTCAGGCATGCTGAGAAATTTGACCTTCAGACCTTTGAGCTCTGAAGCTTATAGACACAGGGGTTGGCTACACATAGGTGAAAGAGACATTCTGAAATTTTACTTGTTTTGATTACTAAAGTGTTAGAACTTTAGAGTGACACTCTTTTTCTCAAAGTCAGTGGCCTGCACAATAAATATTGATGAGATAGGTGTCCTCACACTTGTTGTAGTTTGCATACTGTCAATGGCCCATCAGTCTGGAATGTCACTGCACCCCACACCCATCACTTTGGAAAGGCAGTTTGAAACGCAAGAAAAGTAGCAACAATAAAATCCTTTTCACAGTTTATTGGTAAATGGAATGAAAAATGAAAAATTGTGACCATATAAATATGATGTAGTGCCTATGCAGAGTTAACGGAAATAAAATAATTCACTATTATTAACACTCTGGGGATGAGGGCATCGTCGACCGCGTATCTTTCTTGTGTATTTCAGTTTATATCTTGCTGAAATCATTATGTAGAATCATGAAAAAAACACTGATTAAATCCATAATCTGTCTTCTTTTCAAAACTTCCATTGTAGGAAGTATTAAAGTTTTTAAAATTAGGTTAAATCGGCAAAAAAGCAAACCATGTCACCTTTCTTTTTTTTAACTGCATCGGGGGCATATAGTACCACTCTCAGCTGAAGACTGCTATTCACGTTCTAAATAGGCTGGGTCTGAACTTGCGATCTTATGATTACAGGCTTAGCCCACTGAGCCATGAACACAGGTATGAGATTTGCTGCTGAAAGTGGTGCAAAGCTTCAGCGGCAGAGACGTATCCGTGTGCTATATTGCAGCCGATCAGTGTAAACACTACCCAGAGCAAGACACAGAGGCAGCAGGAAGGCCCTTTAAACCAGCCAAAGTCGAGGAGGCAGCAGGAAATTGACAGGTTGGTGAAAGAGAGAAGACAGCTGAGGAAACAGTGGAGGAGGGCCCATGAGACAGAAAGGGTGGGACTTGCTGATCTGCAGGATGAAATAAAGCAGCAGCTGACCAAGCTGCGAAGAGCAGAGCACCTCAGACGACAACGGAAGAGGAAAGAATGGACAAGGACCTTCTTCTACAGCAACCCGTACAGCTTTGTTAAGGGCCTTTTTGTCCAAGAGAAGAGTGGGGGCCTCAAAGTGCCTATAAAAGACCTGGAAGAGCACCTGAGGGAAACGCACTCTGATGGTTGAAGGCACAAGCCAGTCACCATCCCGAGCAACATGCCACCTATTCAGGCACCTGAACACCAAATGGACATAAGGCCCCCTACATGGAATGAGGTAGAGAAGATCGTGAAGCAGGCAAGATCAACATCAGCCCCTGGACCCAATGGCACTCCATTCAGGCTCTATAAAAACACCCCTGGAGCCCTCAAATACCTGTGGAAGTTGATGAAGGTAGCATGGCGGAAAGGAGTGATTCCAAGGGCGTGGCGAAGAGCAGGAGGTATTCTGATCCCTAAAGAGAAGAACTCCTTATCCATCAGCCAGTTCCGCCAGATCAGCCTGCTGAATGTAGAGGGAAAGATCTTCTTCAGAGTCTTTGCCCAAAGGCTATCTATTTTCCTGCAAAGAAACAACTTTGTTAACACATCAGTGCAGAAAGCTGGTATCCAAGGCTTTTCGGGATGTCTGGAGCATGCCAAAGTCATCTGGCACCAGATTCAAACTGCCAAGAAGGAACGGAGAGACCTAGTGTTGTAGTACTCGAGATCGGTCTCGGTCGGGTTTTTGAAGGCCTTGGACTCGTCTCGGACATGGCCACATTTGTCTTGGACTCGGACAAAGAGGACTTGGGATTTTATTTCGAGACCAGCCGAGACCACGGATTGGATAACTTCTTACTTCAAGTGCAACCAATGATGTAAGTGCCGACAGCGGTTACCCGATCCGCCCCCTTCACACACGCTAGGGCTGCACGATATTGGGGAAAAAATCACATTGCGATATATATT